CGGCGCTTCGCGCCGCAGCCTATACTAATCTAACTCCAGAACGGTAAGTTGGGTCACAGGTAAGTTGAAGTAGCTGACCTCCTAACCACCGTTTCAATTTTTCGTGAAATTCAAGAAACCTGCAGGTTGATAATTGGGTTTTTCGGCAATAAGTTAAATGATAATACAGATTAGGAAAATGTGCAGGTATAAATCGACAACACTCCTAAATACAGTAAAATAAAAGTTCATTGAGCATTAGTTAAGTTATATTCCACTGTGTGTCCTAATTTCCCGTCCATACAACCCGATAAACATCGTTTTTTAGAAAAACATGCAGGTTGTAGGGATTAATGAGTGGGGCTACAAAAGCTACTGTTGACCAAATTTTAACTAGGGTGATTTCCACAACCTTCCCAGTTTTTGCTGTGTTAACCCTTTTCCTAGTTGGTGTTCGTGTTTCCACTAGACAATGTACCTCAATGACCTCTCCGGGGGTTAAGATACACTCCTCCAACATACACGCGTTCGCCGTTGGTCGGGTGGGGGGTAAGCGATCATATATAGCCCATTTCAGTGTCTTCTCCCGAGGTTTCAGTATGCGAACCAACTTGTCCGCGTGAATTTTTTTATTTTACAGAAATATTGTGATCTTACTTGTTCACTGACATCCTCCGCCCGTCCTCCCTCCGAAAATCAGGTGCCCTTGAGCCTGAGGGGCGCGCTTCACACATTCCCCAGGCGGCCCCACAAGGAAACCCTACCAAAAAATTAACCCCTTACGGTTAACGCCCATATACTTATATGCTTACTTTATTCGGTTTAGTAGGTAGTCCAAAACATGGAAAGTTTTAGCTTCGTGTGGAATCATTTTGTTTTTCTTAGTTTTAATGGCCCTATTTTACTTTTTTTTCAATTAGACCACAGGGACCATAAACTAAATTCCTAGAAGAGTCTCGGTATTATCTTTGATTTTATGCTTATTAACCTCACTTATCTCTTTAATTTTCATGTGTACTGACCTCACACTTGCTTGCAATCTGCTAGCCAAAAAACCAGTTTCACTGCAGCCGGAAAATAAGACCATGATTGACGAGAAGACCCTGCTATATTGTGCTTACGGGAGCCAAACGCAGGTTGTGGGCGTGGTTCAGCTCGACATTTTCTTGGGACCCACAACTCGCAGCGGAAACACCACCAGCAAAAGCTCCCAGCTGTCCTTCGACGAGGAATCCCTACTCGGCGGTAGGTACTTTGTGACCTGCGTAGTGATAGTTGGAGGCCGACCGTGGTGGGCAAGTATCCGCGAAGTGGGCTTTTATGGTTAGTCTGAATTTTTTTTTGTTGTTTTTATCTTTTGTGGATGGCATCTTTTGGCAGAGTTTATGGCCTGACGGTTGATAATTCAAGAGATAGTAAAGCATTGGGCAGGTCACAAAAGTCCGATAGGGTGCTCGAGTGGTAATTCGAGAGTCAGAAGGAAGGCAGACATTCTAACACTGTAGTTTTTTGAGTAATGACATTCTTAAGGAAAAAAAAGTTAACTTTATTCAGCAAATTGTCGACGCCGGATCCCCAGGTCATCGTCAGACTTGAGAAGATATGGACCAAAAAATTATAATTTCAAAAGTGCTGGTACAGTTATAAAGGCAGCTAGTCTTGGGAATAATTGGCAGCTGCAAATTACCTCAGTCCACGATGGACACAATCGCAATCGCGTAATGGCCAATTGGCAGCTGCATCTTGCGTCAGTCCGCAGTCAGTCCAGGTCATCCAGTGTGGGCGCTTACTAGAAGTTGTTGTTAACGTACGACAACTGTGTTTTCAGCAAAAAAAGGTTCAGATGTGAAGGTATGCCTAATAAACGAGACAGAAACCTAAGTCGTCGCTTTGCTAATGTACGAATACGTTAAAAAACGAATCTCCTTACTTAAGACGACTGGTTGTAGAATTTAATAAGCAGACCTTTGACGGACTACTAGAGAAATGTCTAAACTTGTAAATTTAGTTCAGGGTTGGCAAGAGCAGGCGT